TAGTATTCCTTATCTTAAGATGACTGTCAATGAGATGAAATCACTAGTGTCTTTCATTTCACGAATTTCATCACATCTGTTTAAGTGAGGGGAACAGCATCAAATCACATGCAACGATGACCAACAAACAACATTAAATACAACTTGTGCTGAAGATGTTGCCTGGAAGGACGATAAGAGCTTCGCAGTTGAATAAACCAGCTCAGAGAACACAACTGATTCAGTGCAAGTTATCACTCAAATATCATATCAAGAAAAAACCTTCATGGGTTAAGATGAAATAATTCAATTGTGACTTAGAAAATCTAGGTGGGTAAACCAATCGACATCGAAGAGTCGTGTTATCGGAACATTGAATGAAGTGGTACAAATAACATATTGAAATAGTATAGAGTAAAAATTCTAAGGTCTGATACGGTTAAATAAAGACTAACAGGACGCGAGAGTTAGATAGAAGGATTATTTTGTTTTTGAATAAAGCAGAACAACAGTACCATCATTTATTTCGTCGGCTTCTCATCATCTGCTTACAGCCTAAATCAACTGTTAAGTTGATGTACAGAAAAGTTTTAACAAACTTGCAAATTTTACACGATGTCGGTTGACAGGAGGTTCTGAACTTAGGGAACGTACTCAGAAAATTACGCTTGTATAGTTTCTTATATAGGGGTTTCAAATTTAAACAAAGTAAATGTATGCATACAATGGTAAAGGAGTCGTGCAATAAAGACAAGAGGTGCGTAAGAGTGACGAGTGACTGATAAATTGGGTAACAGTGTACTGAGTTCAGCTAAAATCAGAGAAAAACAATAGACATGCAAAACTACACTATTTCAAAGGGGTGGGGTGTGACACGAGAGCAAAAGATTACGTAATCAAATGAAAGAGAGAATAAAGACATCCAGTTACCAGGATGGTCTGCTTTCTGAACACACATAAATTGGGTTTCAGGCTTTTGATAGAGATTGCTTCGGAAAACTTGAGGAGAATTAAACTGTTTTGCCTGATGATAATTATTCAAAAGACAGAAGAAAATTTTCTTTTCGGCAAAGTCATCAACTAGACGGCTGTACATTCGTATATTTATATCAAATATGTGAGAAACTTCCAGAATTATTTCCAGTCAGAGGTCAGATTAATAAGGTTAATAAGTGTAATGAAGAGAAGATAGGTGGTGGCATTATTCTAGAAATATTTCAGGTCAAGTTCAAATTAAAATTCTAAAGTATGATAATTAGGAAGATCGGGTAGAAAAGACAAAATAGGATTCAAGTTTTGCTTTGTAGGGATCTGATTGGTTTCAGGATTTCACCATGAGCTGACATTAGTTAGAGAACCATTGGAAAAACTGGGAGTACTGGACACCTGTTTCGTCCTAGTTTAGGACTCTTCAGCAGTACGCACCCGCCGGGATTCGATGGTTCTCTAACTAATGTCAGCTCATGGTGAAATCCTGAAGCCAATCGAATCCCTACAAGCCAACACTTGAATACCAATAAGATGCTCACTGGCGACTGGCCGTATTCAGGTCGGTAGTTACCTGGGTTCCAGTGGGAAGTCGTGACCAGTAGGGTGCAGCGGGTCGGGTGTGAGGACAAATACTCGCCGAAGACATTGGCTAGCGGTCGCGCTATGTCGTGAATTGGCAGAAGTTAGAATTCAAGGACCATTGGATCGGATGCCAGTGGCTTAATGGTATACGAGCTCGCTAGCCTTGTAACCGGAAGGTCCTGGGTTCGAATGATGGTGGTGGATGCGAACTCCTGAAGAGTCCCAAATTAGGACGAAACAGCTGTCCGGTACTCCGGTGCTGGTTTTCAATGGTTCTGTAACTAATGTCAGCTCATGGTGAAATCCTGAAACAAAATAGGATTATAATTACTGGAAAACTCGTCAGTTTGTAGAATTACGGGTTAAGGACGTAGTATTAACGAAATGAATAGGAGGTTTGGACACATAAAGAGAAAAACAGTAACCAAATCTAATAATGCAGATAGGGATTTAGAAAAAAGTGAATATGACAGAAATAAATGGGGAGTTTGGACAAAGAAATGTAATAGGATGATCATTGTTGGTTAGACTGACTTTTCATGATGGCCATAGTAGGGACAACGGTTGAACGTATTTCTTTTGGATACATAGAGTTTTTGGGATCATCAGTGACTCAGCTATTCCTAGATGTGTTGATTTCACTCTCTTTGGTAGGTTGGATTGGATCTTGTATATGGCTTTGAAGGATTTTTCAAATGGAGCCGAATGTCCAGAATTCATCAGATGTTCTGTTATTGAACTTTTATAAATTTGACTTTTAACCTGAAATATTTCTCGAATAGTACCAGTACCTATCTTATGTTTATTACACTTAATAATTCCATTAATCTGACCTCTGAATATATATATATATATATATATATATATATATATATATATATAAATTATTTAGGCTATAAGCAGACGGTGACAAGCCAACGACATAATTGATAGTACCATATTATTGTGCATAAACTGTTATTCTTGCTTTATTCAAATTCATAAGGGGGAACAAGTGTATTTTGTTTTTGCAGAATGAACTGACAACATGGAACGAACCTATCACAAAGCACAAATGGATAATACTATCGCGACACATTTATTCATTAATATGATATGAATATGATAAAGGCGAATTGATATCAGAAGAGAAAGTCATCAATTCATCTGTCTAAAATGCAGTGACTGGGAGAAATAAATTCATCCAGAAATGTCATCAGTAGATCACATACCAGAACTGTCTTTCGCTGTAAATTGAACGATATAATGTGGGATAGCCAGCATTCTGTTACACCGTGCATATCCTATCTGCATGAAAACATGGACGAAAATCCTAATATTTCAGCAACTCAATGCTTAGTGCATAACGCCAACCTACAAAATCATTCTCATATATATATTATTATTAATTATATATATATATATATATATATATATATAATTAATAATAATAATTTTTCCTTCACGTTCCCAGTGGAACATGGGGCTTCAAGCTAGAGGCTTGAAGTTTCTGTAGCAGTGTTTATTTTTATAGGATGGGGTTACCAGCCTCATGCCCAACCTTTCCTCTTTACCGGCATTATTTCTGGCATAGAGAGGTAAAGGAGTGCCTTGTCGGCCGGGAATCGAACCCAGGACCATATGCATATATATATAATATTATTCCCTCGCGTTCTGAGTGTGGGCTTCAACAACACATCACTTTCTGCTGTTTTCTGCCGTTTTCTTCAGCTGGGTACACGGTTGACCAGACTCTCTTCCTCACACAATTTCCTCCGCACACACACTTGAACAAACCATTTGGATTCCACTCGAGGGCCTGGCGTGTGATATCATTCGATGGTTTCCTTAATGTATACCCGATCCATCTGCACTTTCTTCTACATAATTGTTGAGTGGTCGGCTCTTGCCTGTTGGTTTATCAACAACCAGAGTTCCTTGTTACTTATTATTTCTGGCCATTTGATCTTCAGTATGGAGTTAGCCAGCGAAGTGGGCAGCTGTTGTTGAAAGTCTGCAGTAGCCTGTTGGAAATCTTTATACTGACACGCCAAGTTTCTGATCCCCACAGAAGAACCAACTTCACAAAGAAGGATTGTGATAACCACTGCTAACTACTTACTTCAGATCAACACAATGTTCTTCAATAGACGGGCGAGTAATGAAGAAAGGAATTTGTCACTATTATTCAAACCAAACACTACAATTTGCAGTCACAATCTACACCTGATTCACGTCTTCCTTATATCACGATCGATCGATCGGTCTGATTGATTTAAACTTATAATAAGACAAAAGCGATGCTCTATGTAAATCAGTAGTAAAACATGTCATCTGAATTTCATCACGGAGTAATGACTGTGAGTGGATTGTGAGAATGTGTGACACAGATCACTCACTCAGTTGGACATCGTGTTGTCAAATTCAGTAATGTCTATTAACTGGTGACAACCAACCAACTGAACTGAATAACATATGTGTAAAACTTGGGCACTGTGGTATTAAGTAATTCCATATTAGTTTGATTATTAAATGTATCACACAGTGAAACAGTATTGTATACTGGCTGACGTTTCGAACACAATTTATTGTTCATAATCATATCATCAATTATTATCACACGACTTCCAAACTTGAGTTTCATAGTTTTCTTTGTCTTCTCTTATTTGTCGTCGTAGGGTTAGTAGAATTTTCCAGATATCCGCCCGGACAGGTGTTGAATCATTCTTGATACACGTGTTGATTTTCAGTTGATTCGATAAACAAAGCTTCTGTTATCAATCTCTTCCTACACCCTGCTGTTACATTAGATTTTAAATTTGTCATCCTATCCCATCCTATACTGTATGGTTGTGTGTGACTGCATGCAGTGAGTGCTATAGCTGAACTATTCTCTAGATTTTTTATGTTATTTGGGTCAACCAGTCTAGATTTAGCTGCTAGGTTTTTATGTTCGGCTAGTCTGACTGCCCCTGTTCTACTAGTTTGACCTATGTATTTGACCTGACAATCATTGCAGGCAGGGTATTAGATAAACTAAATCGTTTTGTTTTAAAGGCTCCACAGGATTAATGTTTTAACCGACAAAGCTTGTTTCTAATTGAGTTTGTGGTTGGTTTGAATGCCAGTCACTTTTATTCCTGCCTTGTTAAGAATTCTGAACTGAATAACTGACAATTAGAGAGGTCAATACATGTTGAAGCCCATAAAAGAGATCACAACTGACCGAGAGATCGAAATCCAGTGAAGTCAATTGAAGTGAATTGAATTCAGAAATAGGGAAGATATTGGTGAGTTGTTTCTTTGATTGACATTCACGACGCCTAATTCTCCTGTATTCATTTGTCTCTTCTTTCTCCATCACAGATCGCATTGTTGGTGTTCACACTCGCCATCACTTATCCAAATGTTGTTCAATGTGACAAGGGTAAGTATTTCACTGAACAGTCTTCTTCTTTTCATGTAGTGGGATGTCTGTCGAAAGTAGGTTCACCTGACGACCATTCGGTCATCTGTATTGAGCATTCTAATCAATGCTTATTTCACAAAATCTGATAACTATTCACTATTTAACTAACTAACAAACTAACCAACTGATATTCCTACCCCCACTTCTTTGCTGTTTCGTTGCGTTTCAGGCGAATCTGCTGCCGTACCCAGTGGTGGATCAGAGGCAGGTAAACCTGCTCCTGCCACTGCTCCAGCAGCCACAGAAGGTCAGTTCATCTTTAGTGTATATATTTCCCATTTTACTTATCCTGTATAAATACTTATGTGAGATCATATGTCTCACTATTCAGTGATTCCGCTAACGTGCGTCGGTGGCACAGTGGTTAGGACTCTCACCGACCATGCACACGGTCCGAGGTTCGATCGCCTGCCGATGCACACGTGATATCTATGGTCGGCCTGCAAAATTCGGGCTACCGATATCCATGCTGAAAATTCAATGCTTGTAACAAAATTACAGTGTAGAATCCAGCTGTAATAAAAAAAAAACATGACAGGATGTCCATATTGTGGGTCATTCACTGTCTTTATCCAAGTCAATTACCTGTACATACAGGATGCTCCTACACGACAAACACTCCTAAGGAACAATTACACCACTACTGAGGTACCACTTGTTGGTAACCTTAGCGCAGGTCATTTGTACATAAATTGTAGCTAAAATATGCTCATCCTGTTCCGTCTCCGTTAGTCCGTGCGTTGCTGTCGTATTATTATTCCTTTGGGTTTCAAGTGGAACATAGGGCTTCAACAACACATCTCCACTCTTTTTCTATTTGGTGCTGTCATCTTAAGCTGGGTCTATGATTGGCCATAATCTCACATCTCCTACATGTCACTCTCGCACTGACGAACCACTGGTTGCTACCCATCCAGGTTCTACTCGAGTGACAGCCTGGTGTGCGGTGTCATTCGACGGCCTTCAAATCATATGCCCAATCCATCTCCATTTTCCCATACATATTTACTGAGTGATAGATTCTAAGTTTATTTTGTTCCCGTAGTTAACTGTTGCGAATTCTTTCTGACCGTTTGGTCCAGCGACGTGGGCAGCTGTTGATGGAAATCTCCAACAGGCTGTTAGAAATCCTTTTCATGACGCGCACTGCAAGTTTCTGATTCATATAGAGGAACCGAATTCACATTTGTGTTGTAAATCCGAATCTTGTTGTTTATGCTGACTGAGTGCAGAAGATTTCCAAACTGACTTCAGGTTGATGTAGGCGTATCTTATATTTCCGATTCCGGTTGGATTTGACATCTCCATACGTTCCAACCGCTTGTGGTTGAAACCGTGCTTCCTGGCCAGATAAGTGGAGGGAATAGCCTCTGTCAAATCTTCTTCGTTGGCTGTGATTGGTGCTGGATGCTGTTGTTGTTGTTGCTTTTGGTGCGTAAGTTATCTTCATCACTTGTAGTCCTGCCTCCACTGCCAGTCTGTTAGCTTCTACCCGAGAGTCTTCGAATCTCTCTCTGTGTGCGTGTATGACACTAAACATAAATCAACCATTCGTGAAATCCAGATCTTCTAGAGTCATCTTATCGGCAATTGCAGAGTACTCCTGTTTTCTCACTGCCCACTGTCTCCCGCATAATCCACTACACCACAATTAGGAATAACATCATCGTGATAATACGTAGTGGTCTTGTCTCACTGCTGTATTCTCCTCAAACGGCTCTCTCAATGTGAATATAGTACCTACTAATACATTCAGATCAGCTGTGCACTTAGAAAACTGCAGTTAAACACTAATTTCTGACTTTATTTGTATGAATCAATTGGAGGCTGAGGTGTTGCTAAATGTTAAGGCCAACTTGTAGAATTTTCCATGTTCTCATATAGCGAAATGTCAATCACTCATAATAAGGTTATTGATAATGTCTTTGATGAATATTCCATAAAAATATTTCAAGTCTGTACAAGTTGAATACACACCAGAATCAGTATCAGATTTCACATTTGAACGGTCCGAAATTATTATACAGATGCCTACAATCCATTTTGTCATTGAGCACAATCAATTTTCTTCGGTGGAAGATAATGACCAGTTGTAATTCTATCGCAACATATCCCATAGGTAAAAAGGATGTCTCTCCCAAGAAGGCTGCCGCTGGCAAACCACTAAGTGCACCAGTGAAAAAGCCATCATCTGGAAGTAAATCACCGTCGAAGCCATATCGTAAGTCCACTTCCTGTTCATCGTAATAATAATAATAATAATAAATAGTGATAATATTAGCATTATTGGTAATAATATGTGTACTACTAATGAAAAAAAATATGAGACTGCTGTTAGTCCTTTGATTCTGAATTCATCTTATAATTTCTGAAGGAAATTCTATTGAAAACTACCGGTTCGTGTTCCCTCCTCCATCTCCTCTTCATCCACATCAGTCTCATTGTACCACCCGCTACAAAACATACTACCTACTTCACTACTCTAATACAAATTCCAGCCT